CTTGGCACAACTGCACCATTAAAACCGTAACATTGCTTCTATGTCAAACTTTTCTCATGAAATTAGTTTTATTTTTGGAAACAACATGTAGATGACACAGTTGCTGCTAATATTTTTCCTGTATTTTTTTTTTTTGTAATAATAAAGCTCTTTTTGTTAAACGTTTGTTGCGAGCTCTTGATTGAAGAAATGCAACGATAGGTCTTTTAATCATCAACACCAAGCAAGAGACATCGTCTCTTGCGTCAAGGTGATAGCTAGATGAAAATAAGTAATTGTTAGTGCCCTAGTCAAAAGAATATTACTTTCCTGAACTCTCCATTTTTCTAGGTGTACAAAAGATGGTACCTACCAAAGAATATAAGAAAAACCTGATAAACAGGCTTCAATGGAAAAATACGATAGATGAACTAGCACCCCAGTCTAAGGGGGGCAGAGGAGAGGGTTATAATTACCCCTAGGTATCTGTCAGTCAATTCGAAACCCCCGAGAATTAGACATTTCTAATTTTCAGTTTTCACTCTCAGCGTCTACAGTGACATGAATAACTGTTTTATGTATTATTAAACCATAAAAGTGACTAAATCTTTTTTCATTCAACCACTGTACAAGCCTTTTGAAGGCTTGTTTTTTATCCACAGCATATATACAAAGAACGTTGCTGTCTCTGGATGTTTTCCACAACGCTTCACCATGATCGATCTTCAAATCCCCGTATCCCTCCCATGTAGTGTAAAACTCCCCACCTCAATATTTATCATTGATGTCAAGTTCCCACCCTAGCCTGGGGGGGTGGGCATCGATTAGGCAAATGCCCGGGGTATGCCTAAGCGGGTTGATGTCTCTATTTTGATCGTTACATTCCTTCCGTCACACGAAATAACCAGAGTAAAAAGCAACTGGAATGGAAACCATCAGGTACTATCAATCATACTACAAGCACTGTATTCTCTTTCGAACCATTTGGCGTTTTGGCTTGTTTTAGTCCCCCCAACCCCAAATGGGTTAGTGGGTCTCCTGTAGCTTTAAATAGTTTATTCCATTGCGAATTAAATAACAAGAGCCATAAAATCCGTTGATCACGTATTACCTTTCTGTAAGATAAATAGAGAATAAAACATGGGCACGCGTAGATATGGAATTTCTCTTTGGGTGTTCTACCCAATATAAAGTTGAACACGATCTCGAAGAGAAGTTCCATATCTACAAGCAACCATACATTATTTTGTTTTTTATATAAATAAACCAATAACGAAGGTTTTGACGATTTTCCGAAGATTCCCGACCACTTTTCGAAGACTCCCGAAGATTCTCTAAAAGTTCTGCGAAGGCCAAACGAACGTATCCGAACATTTCCGTAAATTTCCGAAGATTACTGAAGACCTCCAAGAAAGATTCGAAGATGTTTCGATCATACACAAACAAATTTAAGCACAGTTGAAGGTTCAACATAAAATCAAACATTACTTCATCGATATCATCAAAGTGAAATTTTCGTGATTTCATGCGTGTTAAATTACGGCTTTATTTAGCTTTTTCTTAGGGCTGGAAATTCTTACAAGCCACCGCAGTTTATATAACAATAAATTATTACCCGTTCTATTTGACAAAAATTCTAATAGTAGAAGTTAAAATTTAAAGCTGGAATCACAACAGTTTTGTCTATAAATTGCAGTACTTTGTTCACTCTCAGTCCAAAGTTCACTTGCTTTCAATCTCGGGTTTCAACCTAATAAACAAGTTCCAAAGCTCCTTTTCATGTTACAAAACACGCCGCGTACGTGATGGATACTTCCTATTTACTCCTTTTTCTTTGCTTTCAATTTCTGCGATTGGACCTGATTCGTGGGACAAACACTGGGTATCTCTCGCTCAAAAGAACTGACCAGGGAAAAGTCGAAGGCTGTTGGGAAGACAACGATCCGGTTTTCTTGATGTGTTTTTACATTTCCGATAACCGTATGGTTATAGCGCGCGGTCGAAAGGAGCGTGTGTTAGCCTTATACCAGACGAACAAGGACAAAACCATCCTCTTCATGCAAGTTCTCGGAGTTGGACTGTTGAGGTGAGGAACACAACTTATCGTAAGTGCAAAGCACCCAAGATTTGGAAGTCATTTATTAAGCAAGCATCAAACAAGTCAGGCAATAAGGTTTTTAGAAGCCACTTCTGCGTTTTAGAACCACTCATGGAGCCCAATCTTTAAAGTTAATAATTACATACTGATTTTGACGATGCTTTGTTTTTGTGTTACCCTCAGGTACAAGTCAAGGGAAACAAGAGTGCCAATGTTGGTTTCAAGCTCCTTAGCTGGAAACATAATCAAACGGAAATTAAAGGAACTTTCTTTAGGAAGTGCTGTCCCAAGTGGTCTTAGCCAATTCATCAAAGAAGTTCAGAAGTCAAGCAAGCATCGGGTATTCTTAAAAACGACCGGCCGAAAACTCCTAAGCGTAAACGAAGCCGAGACCTTGGACAAAATCTCTTCAGCGTTGATGAAGCACTCGTTAAATTCTCGACTTCCAAAACCTGTGGAACAATTTCAACTCTTCTGTCTGGGCTTAATCCGGTCCGTAGGACCACTAGAGGCGTCGTCTGTACTTTCTAATGATTGCCACAATCATATAACTTTGTCAAAAGTCTCCAGCACACATCAAAGAAGGCCTGGATACGATATGAATATTTTAACCAATCAAAAATGGACACCACTTGGATGCCAAGACATGCGCAATGGTTCGGACCGAGAATGCTTTGGAATGTGCGGTAAAAATTGCTGGTGTTGGGACTGGGTTTGCGGGGACTGTTGTTTACACAAAGGATGTTTGCAACACGACGCATGTTGTCGCTACACGAGCCCTCAATACTTGTCGACGTACTGTCTTCTTCCATTCATTTACGGGTTTGATTGTAGTCGTTATAACGGCTATCCTGAATGTCTCCACAATTAATCAGTTTTGGTTCTATTAAACAGGAGGGTGAACAGCGGAAACCACTCCTGCAGAAACCGGTTGGATCCCCGCCTGAGGTCGCATCAGAACTGCATTCAAAAGTGCATCGAAAGCTGTAATATATGCATGACGCATCAATGCTGATGCA